TACACATCCTCCCACCTCTACACCCAAGACTTTTCAAAGAGATAGATTATTTTAATTTCACGTCCCTGTCAAATTAATAATAAAAAAATGGGCCCAGGTTCCAAATTGCTTCATCTTGCTAAACTGTTTCCTAAGGCACTTTCTTTGAAGAAAATTCTGCATTACTCAGTCTTCATTTAACGAAAGTTTTATTATGTTTTTCTTTCCATTCGCTATTTATCTACTGGAAAAAGGCAACATTGAGCTCCCTGAAAACAAAGAGTTCACACGACTTAAATTTATTAATTTAAAAATTGTAATTCACTTTGTTTTGTCTGACCCACATGGAAACATAATTCACGAGATGTTCACAACAAACTGAGTTATTCACTTTAAATGCACTTAAATTTAAGTGTCATGTTTGTCACTTGGCATTGAACATTAATTACTTTCCTGATGGATTAGGCGGAGTTTGAAGATAAGGCAAAGAGACTTATACACTGAACTCCTATTTCACTTGTTTCCACAGGCACCACTTTAGCTTAGGCTTTGTGATGATGCGCATTTAACCAAACAAAACAGGGCAGAAGCACCAGTACACAAATCCCATAACCTCAGTAAGCACTGAGCAAACAAGAACCTTTGTTCTAAGAAAAAAAAAATATATAAAAAATAAGAACACAGTTCCACAGAAAACTCAGTGGCCACCGAATCTACACCCTGAGCCATCATTTATGAATCTATGAGCTTGTAGTGAATCAGAAATTCAAATAAAAGCCACATTCAGGGAGGAAAGAACACACGAAGAACTTCACAGGAGTCCCCTGTGCTTTTTCCATCTTAAGTTCTGCACATAAAAAATATAAAGCCTCTCCAGACACATCAGCTCACTGCTTTTCCAAGCAATTTTCATGACTCTTTCATGTGATAGTTCTTACTGTGGACTAGAAAAAACAGAAATAAAAAACCAAACCAACAAAACCTTGCTCAAAAATTTAACCCTTACCCAAGACACTTCATGCCAAGTGGGGAGTCTACTTCAGGAAACCAGCTTTTCAATATTAGTTTTCCCTCACATCTATTAAAGAATTCTTTAGTAGAAATCTGCAGATGACACAGCAGGGGCACACCAGGGGAAAAATGCCACTGGGACTTGAGCTGAGAGGGCAATTAAGCACTCATTAGGAAAATACAGCACAGAAGTACTTTGACACTCTACCAGTTACACAGAGTTTTGAGATCTTAAAATGTAAAGTCTGAAACACCAGAGGGGTCTTAGGGTGCTGTGTTAAGGATGTAAGCCTAAGAATTCAAATAATGCAGGTACAGGAGCATAAAAAACCCAAAAGTGTTTGTGCACAAACTCTGGGCACAAGAGTCACTTCTCCACAGCCCAAATAAACTGTTTCAGTGTAGTTTTAGGTAAAGTACTCCCATAATACATCGTCCACTCTTTCAATGTTACAAGTTCCCCTTTTTTTTTTACCATCAAAAGGGCCAAAATCATTACATGAATCTAAAATTAACTAAATATATATACACTATATAAATTATGTAAGTATATATATACACACTACGCAAAATAGACATATACTATAGATATATTATCAATATATACTTTAAAAATTCCTCCTCTACCTCTTTAATTAAAGAAAATTAAAAAATATTTTTAGGATAGTCAAGGTTAATAAAACAAATCCGTGGAACAGCCAAGATTTTAAAACATGATGAAATATAAAGAACATTTTTCATCTATAGACTTTGACCAATACAGAGGGGGGGAAAAAAACCACCTTTTCTCTAATACTTCCTTCAGGAGATTTAAGTCAAGTAGGTTCATTACCACGACACACAGGATGCTTCACCTGGTTCCTTGCCTCTTATCTCCAAAAATAATTATGTCAGCTTTCACCAAAATTAACATTTCTGCCCAGGCCATGCTGGACTCCGCAAATTAACGACCAGTTTTTCAGTTGGGGTAATTTAATTTAAAATAAGCCAACACAACACAGTTGGCTGCCTCCAAGGACTGTTGTATCTTTGTTCATTGGCTCAGCCCAGGCAAATCCCTCCTCAAGCTTTTGTGAGGTTTCCACCCCAGGCCCGACACAGCTGAAGGCATTTGGAAAGCCCCAGGGTCCCTCTTTCCTGTTCAGCTACTGAGCTGAAAAGGGCGGCCACTATAACCCCTTTGTAGACTTGTAAACAAACAATCCCTTTCATAATCATTGGAATAATTTTAAAAATACAAACAAAAAAAACCACCAAAACCAAAAACCAAACCAAACAAACAAAAACAAACAAACGAAAAAACACCAAAAAACAAACCAACCAAACAAAAACAAATGCAGGCTATGATAAGATATATAGCCTCACTCTTCCTCTAATTATTTCTGCCCCAAGATAGCCAGCAATTTGGCTGATGTCTAGATCAAGGGCACAAGAGTTCTCAGTCTCTGTGCTCTTAAAATCACACAAGATCAGTCTCCCTTTGTTACAATTTATTTCACAATCTCTGCTCTATCTCTCTGCTCAGTTGGAGGACACCCCTTCACAGAAAACTCACCTGAGAGTCTGCAGAGGAGATGCAGAAATATCCAGTATTTTTCCATGCTTTGCAAATTTGGGTAATTTAATCAAGAAATATTTTGTGAAATCACTAGTCTGCCTTAAGAGACAGTAACACCAGAGGCCCTTGCCCAGGCACACACATATAATAAATCTTTTTTTTCCAACTTGGAACTTTTCCTGTAAGACATGTTCTTCCTGTCGATCAGATTTGACTCTGTTAGATCACCAAACAACAGTAATTTGGTTTGTAATTATTTCCTACATTTCACCTGAGCTTGTGTCAACATGGTAACAAATATAATTCAGTAACTCCTTTGTGTCTTGACATATCTTGGACACCAGTCCTTTACCATTACATTATCTGATACAACATTCCATTCATAATCTTCAAAATCGCAGGAGGTTTTTACCACCTTCCCTTTTTTTCCACCTCATCTACAGAGATAAAGGAGGTGGGGAAGACTAAAATCCACAAAGACATCCTGATTATAATTAGCAGGAGTTGAAAGCCACTGTTTCTTAACCAAGGAAAAGGACACAGCTCAAATCAGGGATGGAACTAGAGCAAACTCCATTTTTGGTGGGAAAAAAGTATCATTTCGAGACCCATTTAATAGCATTTTACAACAGCTGTCTAAACTGGATTCTTGGTTATCTAATGAAGTTAGTCCAGATCATAACTCATGCACATGATTTTATGTGTTCCACATAGTATCAGCAAGCACGCCACATTTTTGCCAGGTACATCAGTGAAGAAATCATAGCTGCCTCCTGTTAACCTTGAAAAATCAGATAATAACAGGAGTCCCCAAAAACCTCACCCCAGACTCTGGGTGATTCCATCCACTCTTCTAGGACCTGTGTTGCTTTTTCATCTGGGGCTCCTGAGCTCTAAAATAACCCCTTAAAAAACAACCTTCACCTACTGCTAATCCCTAGGTGACACAAGTGAGGGATTAAAATTTCTCATCCTCAAGTGGCACTGAAAGATAACGAGGACATCAGAAACAGGCACTGAGACAAAACAGTAAGTGACCCTGCAGGACTCGTGGCATATCCATGAGCACAATAGTCTGCAAGGGATTTCATACAGGAACTCACCAGAAACTATTGAAGTAGGAAAAAAGTATAAAAAATTTATCATATAGGGCATGTTTGTAAACAAAACTACACTAGAGGAACCTAGCTGACCACCTGAAAGAAGGTTGTGGTGTGACCATGCACTGACAGCTGGACTCTCCTTGGACGTCACAAGAAAACTTTTTGAGTAGCTAACTCACATTTGAGCATCCAAAAGTGAATCCAAAAAGGCAAAACAACCCAGTTTTCTCCTTCCATCTCAGAGACACACAGAAGAAAAGTTCAAAGGTATTATTGTCTCTAAAATCTTAGGTCATGGTGACCACCAGAGGTTGTCCACTAGTTACAGTTACAACTTCCTTCTCTTTAGAAATGTCCCTTAATGTGACATCGTTCAAGCACTTTAATGTGAGGTTATCCTAGATAATAAAGCTGGTTTTAGAACTTACTGCATTTAGGGGTTTTTTTTTAATCCAAAGCCTTGACATGTGATGACAAGAAACAGATCCATTGAATGTAATTCACTAACAGAATAAGAAGTATCAGAAAAGGAGTAAGAAATATCAGAAAATACTGATGTATGAACATATTATGAGAAAACGATCATACATGTTGCTAATTACCTGTTAATATAGTAGATGAATTTGCAAATTAACATGCCTTCATAGTTACTAGACTTAAACAATCTAGAGAAAAGTAAGAACAAATCCAAAATCAACATAGTGCCTGAGACCCACAAGTTAGAAAAACAAGTTATGCAAGAAAACCCACCCGAGAAATTCTACATCTGCTTTTGCTGAAACATTATTTTCCTTTTCGGCTTCTACATTTGATTTTGCTGAAAACATCTCCGTCACATTTCTGGGGACTACGAATCTGAGATCAGAGAAATGTAAACTGTAGTGACCAAAGCTACTACTGCAAGTGAAGTTGCCCTGTAGAAGATATCAACAGCATTTTAAGTGGGTTGTGTATGTGTCACTTGCCTTAAAATCCTCTGCTTTAGTGGAACACTGCCTTGATTCCACTATAAAAACATATTTTATACACAAACTCTCAGCAGCTTCAGGAATTATGTCAAATGTTATCCCAAAATGTTATTTTTAGGGTGAAAAATTTGTTTCCCCTGACGAAGGGAAAAAGCAAAACCTGTTCCACACTGAGCAGACAAACAAGAACAATTTGGTGCTGAAACACAGAGAGAACAGAGACATGAAAACCAAGGAATGCTTTTTGAGGTCCGTATGACTGGAAACCAAAGCTCTTTTAATTACTGTGTGTCTTCAGTCACCAAAAGAATACACCGTGTTCATGATGAGGACACAAAGCACCTTTAAGACAACAAATTCGAAAAATCTTGGAGAAATGCAACTACAGAAAAGAGGATGAAAACTGCTACAAGGGGAAAACAGAGCACAGGAGCCAAAATACAAGAGACCAGAGCAGACTATGAGAGCCTCCAAAGCCAGCCTGGATTGTGCCTATGGAACAACAGAAGAAGAAACAATAAGAAGTTGCTAATTAAAAAAACTAGCTTCATTAAGGTGTTATTTATGTTATTAAGGCTTCAGCAGCACAGGGCTCACGCCCGCAGGGGCCGGAGAGCGAGGCGACACCTCCACACCCCGAATACAACCACTAACAAAGCGACCAACCAAAAAAAAACCACCAAAACCCCCACATTTTTGACGTTGGACAAAACACGTGGCTGCGGCGTGCCCGGAGGCGCAGGGTCGGGTGAGGGGTTACTGATCGCAGTTATAGCGTTATCCTGGCACGGGACAGCGGCGAAACCCGTGGATCATCCCGTGGATCACCGCTCGGACCCCCAATCCAGGTACCACACGGCCCGATCCCCCAGAGGGCAGGGCGGGACGCCGGACCTACCTCCCGTCCGCCGCTTCCGCCTGCGCCCCGGCAGCAAATCTGTGCCACGTCCGCCCCCTTCGTCCCGCCTCCCGCCGGCTACTCCGATCAATCGCAGCGCCTTCTTCCTCCATCAGCCAATGGCGGTGGCGGCCCCGTCCCCGTGCTGTGAGGACGCGCTGTGCGCGTTCCGCCCTGCGAGCGGGGCCGGAAGGTGATGTGGAGCGGAGCGGCGCTATGGTAAGCGTGGGTCCTGCTCCAGTCCTGGGTGATCCCAGGCCTTTCCCGCACGCCTGCCTCCGCACCGGCAATGCCGCATACCCACCGGATCCCCCTGGGCCTGGCGGCGCCACAGAGGGGCCGCTCACGCCGTAGGCCGCGGGCGCGGAGCGGCCCTGAGGCTTTGCCGGCTGTGAGGCGAAGCGGGCGTTCGTCACGGTTCCGGGTGAAAAAAGACACGTTTTGTGTCTGTGCCGGCCCGTGCGGGGTAGGAGAGGAGGATGTTTGTGTCTTTCACGAGCTCGTGACGTCATGTTGGTAGAGTAGAACGCAGAGTGGTTGTGTGATGTCACTGTGTGATATGTGACGTCACGCACCTTGGGCAGTGAGCTGAACCCTGGCATTGGCTGCTTTCCTCGGTTTTGTGGGTACCATCAGAGGCCAAGATTCATCTGCTGATGAGAACTGTGTATGGTCTATATAACTTACGTTTTTATATATATAAATTATATCAAAAGTAATATAAAAATTACATCATCAAATTATTATAATTATATATAAAATAATATCTAAATTACATAATGGTATTATATATAAAATAATAAAACAATACAAATCTCTAAAATATATAATTATGCATATAAGTATATATTAATATATTTTGTATGTTTATAAATTTATATGTCATTATATAAACACATGCTTATATGTGGTTATTGTATGTATAATCCATATATAAATATAAATATATAAAATATACAGATCCATGTAAGTCTATAATTAGACTTATGAATATACTTATATATTTCAAATATATATATTTATTTATATAAAAGCCATACACATAAAGAGTATGTTTGTATATATATATGTGTACTCATTATAAATGTGTGTATATGTATGTGTACTCATTATATAGAGAGTTGACCTAAAGGGACTTTGTTATTTATATTTTTTCTGCTTTTTTCCCCATTCTGTTTACAGAGAATACAAATGAGAGATTTGCATTTGTGTCATACTTAAGAGCTGTGCAGTGATATACTTTTTCTCAGCCAAGGTTTATGTGTTTATATAGGTATAATGTTTATATGAGTGGTTTAGATACATGATTTTAAAATTAAAAGGGAAACCAAAGGAATAACTGAGTCAAGATAAGTTTTCCGTGCGTAAAATTGAAGTTTGTATGTAACTTTGTTTTAATAAGGGAATTTTCAACATTTTTCTGATAATCACAGGATGGCTTAGGTTGGAAGGGGCCTTTAAGGATCCCCTGGTCCCCCCCCTCCTATGGGCAGGGATCACATTTGTATTTATAGAAAAGATAAATATCTCTTGAACTTTCTTATGGCTCAGTGCAAAAAAAAAAAGGGTTCCTTTTTTTCCTTTCCTGTGCTCCAGACCTTGTCACCAGCAGGAAATTGCTGGACGTTGCTCACCTGAGCATTCCTTGGCAGATCTTTAGATGAACCTGTTCTTATCTGTGTCTGTGTCTTTGTGATGAGGCATAAATTATCTCAGGATATCTAAAACACACATGCAGAAAACAAGACACCCCTAGTCAGTGCCTTTAAAAGTAGATATACTGAATTATAACAGCACCTTTCTGTTCTTCATAGTACCTTAAAGGGTTTGAAATGGTACAAAAAGGCAAGAGAACTCAGTGAGACATTTCTGTTGCTCACTTAAACTCTTAAATACAAGTATTTAATAATATTATTATTTTATATTGTTTATATATGTTTATATAGGAATATATGGGTTTGCATTATATAGAAAATATATATACAAATAATTAAAAAAATAATAATAATGCTCGTCTCTAACAAGATTATGGCAAGTACATGAGATCTTATGAGAATTACTTTCCCCACTTGTCCATGTTCCCTGTTTCTCTGTGATGCTTCAAGGACCCTGAAGCAAAAGACTCTTCTAATGATTGGTTTTCTCATGATTTTATGTTGAAGGAGGTGAAAATGAGGTTCCTCAGCCTTTGTGGAGTTAGAATTTCCTCAAGGGGAGCAACAACCCTCATGGCATATCCAGGATTTTGGGTTCTCCATGGTGCCACCTCTGGTCTCATGGCTTTTTAGGGGAAAAAAAAGACACTTTTAAGCTCACACTTGACTGTGAGGGAGAACACAGCTGCTCCTCTTCATAGGAAAAATGTGCAATTACAATCGAACAAAATTTGGTGATGGAGAAAATTTTAAGAGTTGCAGAAAACGTCACAAAAATGGCTCCTTCCCCTCACCCTGTGGTTGGGCCTGATCTTGGCCCCGCATTACTGCCCAAAAAATCGGTTTGAGAAGTTTCCATGAGTACAAACATTTCTGTCATGATCTTTGTTGCTCTGTTAGGTTGGTGTTTATGGAAGGAATGGGAATTGCTCATAGAGCCAATTGTAAAAACATTCATTAGTAAATATTATTTCAAACCAAGCTGTCGGATATAAGCATACCATAACCCGAGACACTGTCCTGCAAAAAGAGCTCTCAGGAGTCTTCAAGTAAAAAGTTGTGTTTGGCTTATTGACTATTACAAGAAATAGAACATGGTTCAGATTTGTTTTTATCATGGCTGAAAGGTACATAGGTTTAAAAACATCTATTTCATCTGATAGTCTTAAGGTGTCCTTGTGGTGTGAAAATATGTAACTTGAAGTGTTCAATGTAGATATTTTTATCCTGTCATTTCAGAGGAATATGTGAAAGTATATTGCCAATATTTTATTTCTGTAATTATAGAACAAAGGAAATTATTTCTTCTGACAAAGTGAGATGTGTCTCTTGATCTCTTTTGGGAAGAGTAGGATGCAATGAGTCTGCTTTTACAGGTTTTCCCAGGAATGGCACTGGTTGTGAGAAAACATTTCTGTGCTGAACAATTAAATTTAATTACACAGTTTAATTTTCTGATTGTCTTGTGGCCATGAAAATAAAGTAGAAACCCATGGAATTTTGTGAAAAATATTACCTGTCTTCCAGGTGCTAAATATTCAAACCATGCACCCAAACTCTGCCAAACAAGAGAACTGCAGAGGGCCTGCCCAGTGCCATAGGACATCAGACACTTAACAAAGCCTTTTATGACTTCTTGTCTAAGTATATTCTTTCCTGATACAGAATTACTTGTTTTTCATGTTTTAGAGGGATGGTTCTACTATTAATGAAAAAAAAAAAGAAAAAGTAAATAGTATATATAAAGTATTTCTGGTTCTGGTTTTTACTTCTTAAGTAAATTAAAATATGTTTCTTTTTGAGAACTTAGACTTTCCCCTGTGTCCATGTGCACATTCCTGTAGCACCTTCCATTATAAAATCATTATTTTTGCACACTGCTTTTGGTAGAGTAAGGGTGTCACCTGATTCAAAATGTACTTTATAGTGATTCTTATCTCTTCCATTCACATACACAGCTTTTATAAGTTTACCCAGTAAATTTTGAGGTAAACTAAGTAGTGTGGTGGCAACTTCAGAAAGGAGAGCAGTGTGGGAGATGTCTTTTTTTAATATATATATAACTTTTTTCCTTCTGTTTCACTACACTTAAGAAATATTTTACGCCCAGGTTTTTAGGGAAGGAAAGGTGAAAGAGCTACAAATCAAGATTTACATCCTTTGAGAAAGCTCTGTGGCAATGACTGAATATGATCTGCACCATTGATAGTTACAGAAACTACTAAATATGTTCTCTTACTCTGGAGAACATACTTGGTTTTAACATCCTAAACAGAAGGGTTATATAAAGTATTCCTTTTGTCTAATGGGGGAAGAGAGTGGAGAAAAAAAGTCTCTGTAAAATGGCAAACTGTGTAATCTACAAAGGAGACCTGGAGGAAAAGACACTTTAAGCTTTTACTGACATATCTACCATAATTCTGTGTTTTTTGAGTAAATGTATGGATATACACACCTTTGTGTTACAGTGACCCTGATAAAAGAGGTTAATAGTCACCTTCAGTTTTATTGTAAGATACTTTTATGAAATGCTCTGTCTGCTAGAGGCTTATACCAAAAGTTCAATTTTCGAACTAGATATTGGGGCAAAGAGGAAGGAATTCAAGTGAGTGGAATTTCAGCATCGTCACCTCGAGGTGTCTTTTCACTGTTGTTCTTTGGATTTGAATTGCAATAAGAAACCTAAATGTGTTAAAATTAAAAGAGAGCTTTTATGGGAGAGGGCAACTGTTTCCATATGTTAATTAATTGTTTAAAGAGATGGCTAGTGTTTTAAATAGATATATTAGTCTTCAGTTGACTGAAAAGCTTACGTGTCAGTTCCTACATGCTGTGCTTGCCATTTAAATTAGCCAATGTACTCCTTCAATAAATGCCTAGGGAAAAGATTCTTTACTACTCTAATCAAGCCTTAGCCTAAATTTTATGAGTCCAAAAATTTAGACAGAAATGTGAATGATGGTTAAACATTATACTTAAATTCTTTGGAAACTAAATACTGAGGAGAATATGCTGTAAATCCAGAGTAAAAGCCCATATTTGTGTTGGAACAACCAGTAACTGCAATTGGCCAGTATTTGGATATTAATTAAGCACAAACCAGTTTTTTCTAAACACACCTTGCTTAGTTTTGTAGTGTAATTTTGCCAATAATCACTTCAAACTTAACTAATTTGCACTTTTTGTGTATTTTTATAGCTGTAATTATCATGCCTCTTTTACAAATGCTTATTTTCCATTCATTTTTATCAGGCTTCATTTGGCAGCAGTGGTGAAAATAATTATTTTTTTAATAGGTTGGAAAATAATAAAATTAGATGCAAGTTTTAATTATTTTTTAGCAATTACTTTGACTTCCAGGTTGTGAGTAGTCCCACATGTTTTATTTCCCGTTACTTTTTTTCAATATTTTTCCCCTAAAAATTTTATTTCAACTGGGGAAATAAGAACTGAAGTGCCTAATGGAAACCCTAGAAAATAAGCATTTTCTCTTTCAGCTTTGTGAGAACCTCTTCATTAAAATTTCATAGATTGATTTCCCTTTTGTTTGATGGCATTTTTATCAGCTCTCACTTAACTACAGTTTAACTGCAGTGTGTGAGCTCTTGCTCACACCTTAATATGAGAAACCCAGTCATTTAGCTGCCTATCAGTATTTGTTTCTTTGGTCCCAGAACACTTTATCGTCCATTAATTTTATAATATGAAGGAGGAAAACAGAAAATAAAACTGTTCTAGAAAGACTGAATGTTCTGCAGCATGTTACACAACTGACGTTATACTTTCTTTAGAATATTCCAGTAATTTATCTGTGTTTGCCCACATAAATTGATTATTGTAATAGTAAACACAGGACAAAGTTTAGCAACTTAATGGCCCTACAGTGGCCTCTCCTTCTGTAACACACACAGATGAAATCATCACGGTCACGCTGCAATCAGAGACAGAATAATTTTGTAAATACTTAAAGTCTAGAGGAGGGTAAACTTCAGTTTGGGTGTTAAGCCTGTTGAGATAAACTGGGAGAGCTTTTATTTTAGGCTTCCTACCAGCCCAGTAAGACAAACAACATGGGGTTTATGTTCTCCTGCATGTTTTATTTCCCCTGGAAGCATGGTATCAAGGAGTTTGTTTTAAACAAAAGTATATGAGGCAGGGGGAAAGTCAGTAGGGTTGTTGTGACACAGAGTTGCAACAAAACTTACAATGTAATTTATTACAGTGCTACCCAAGAGTTGCATCAGTAAATACATCAGTTGGTAACTCCGGTGGTGTCTGCAAGGACATGGAACAAAATGATGTCTGCAGCAGAGAATGTTGGCATGATGGAGTGAATGAAACTGTAGAGGTAGAATAATTAGTGTCTTGTCCATGGGCTGTTATTTTCAGTGCAGAAACATATTTAAAATTAAGTGTATCCATTATGGCTGTTTCTGCTGAGGCTGAATACACATTCACCAGTGATCACTGAAAATTCAGTCAATGATCTGTGTCCTCTCAGCGAATTGAATTAAATATTCTTATGAAGTGCAAGAGCTCTTGATATCCAGAACTCTGAGCTGCTTCTTTTTTTTTCTCTCTCTACAAATGTAGTAAACGTAATGCTGACTAAATCGCAGGAGGTGCAACAGTGTCTATAATGAGGTTAACAAGCCCTGTGTAAATGTTGTGGCCAATCACGATTCCCTTTCTCAGCCACATAGGTAATTTTTAACTTTGAATTGACAGTTATTAAAGTATATTAAACTTCATTTATACTCACATATAAATACATTCAGATGTCCCTAGGTGTGCCATTTGGTTTCCAACTACTGTATATTCCCATTAGTATTTAATTTAATATATGCCACCACTGATAATCCAATCACAATAAAACTTTCAGGAGTAATCATTCTTTATGGTTTACTATATGGAGTTTTTACTAAGATCCATTATGATCAGGAAATAATATTAACGTCTTTTTTTAAAGGTTTAATTTTGGGAAGGATTTTGGGCATGTAGCTCTCAGAGCTGAAGTCCATGTTCTTAAATTTCTAAAGACTTTGGAAAAAGCTTACTCTTGCACGTTCTTCAGGATACAAAGCTTCATTAGTGCTGCAGGTGAGAGGCATCAGGAGACTGTGATTATTTAGGTAACACAGAGTGGAACCACTCAGGTGTTTCCACCATGTCAGAAATGTACCAAATGCAGATGCAGGGAATTTCAGCCTGTAAAATTAAAGCTTACACTGTCTAAAACCAGAATAAAATACCAGTGCTGATTCTTTTCTGCACTTGAATGTGAGCCTTGGGAAGTTAGTTGTAGTTTCACCCACATGTGGACAGAGTCTAAAAGACAGCATCAGTGTCTCCATGTGCTGAGATTTCTTTGTAGTGGGAATGAAGCTCACAGGACCTACCTTAAGCCAGTCAATACATTTGAAAGATCCTAATTAATTACTTTTGGATCAGAGGAACCCAGTTGAAGTAAATCAACTGCGACCCACCTACATTACATTGTCCAAGTAGCTCAGTATGTGAATGCAGTGTTTTTTAAAAGGATTCTGAGCAATTTAAAACTCTGACAGCAGCTTTTAATTACACCAGTTGAAGCAGCCAGATGTAAGTCACTGTTTTCTGTGAATTCAGCTGGGCTGTAAGAATTACTTCGGATGTGAAAAACAAAGCCAATCTAATTCAGGACTAAATTTTCATTTCCAGTTTAAAATTGTAGGCCAGTTTTAGAATGCTCACTCATGTCCAGATGTGCAGGTAAAGGTGTCATTCAGGGCAGGGTCCAGTGGAAGGGGGTCTGTAATTGCATGTCTGCAGAAACATGTGAGGACCTCAACAAAGAACAATTATACCCTGCCCCTGCTGATGGGCTAAGCACATATTTCATGAGTATTCATTTTAAGTCTCTGCTGAAGGGGAAGCAAGTGTGCCCTGGTGCCATTTCCCTATGTTGTGGTGCCCAGTGCCGCCCTGGGAAGCAGCTGCAGGAATTCCTGGGAACAAGGCTCTGTGAGATGTGCAGAGCAGCTGCCTGTCCCAGAGGACTGATCCAGTTAATCACCTGATAGGGAATATCTGACTGTGCTGGGGGGCAGCCATGTTCCCAGACCCTCAGGGTCCTGTGGGACAGAACTGGTCCCTCTGCAGGGAATCTAGAATTCCCTGGGTTCTGGAGCTGGCAAAGCGTCCTGTCACCTACAAAGGCACAGGAGTCTGGTGATGATGGGCAGTGTTTTGTGCTTTGTGAATATACTCTCCATTATTTATGATGTGGCAGGACAGAAGTGATACCTAGTTAGGTTAAAACTAAATTAAACATGACTTAAGCAAATGCTGTGGCTTAGAAGAAGAGCAAGAAGGCTCATGTTTTGGGCCCAAGGACTGATGCTGGGTGTTGGGTCACTGGTGTAATGTCCCCTCTCCATCATCCCAGAAATGCTGGATTTCAGGGATGCTGAAATCTCTCACACAGGATGCAGAGGCAGAGTTGTTCTTTAAGCCTCTCTGTGATGCTCCTTTTAACATAGTGGCCTCTTGGACCCCGTTAAGTTGGATATTTAAATTAATCTGGATATCTAACCTTTTCTAATGCACTTATTCAGTCTGGCATTGTATGCATTTTCTGTTTTTGCTTCATGGACTTCTAAATAAGCTAAAGTTTTTGACTTTTTTTTTTTGTTACAAGGCTTTTTGATATCAGAAGGGTTGTGGATGTTCAAGTGGTTTTGCTTCTACTACAGCTTCTTGCTTCTCTCACTTTTGCTGTTAGTGCCATACTGAACTGAAATATTGTGATGTTCCTTTATAATTCTCCTTAACTGTGTAGAGAAATTTGATTATCAGAGCTTCTGAACATTAGACTTTTGTGACATAGGGAGAAAGCACACATGCATCAACAGAGATGTGGCTCAGGCCATGGAAATGGGCACTCTGATGTGCTTTAAAATATACTTGGAGAGGGAAACTGCAATGTAATAGCACTTCCTAAGTGCTAAATATTTACCCTTAATTAAATACCACTATTCAGCCATCTGGGTTGCAAAAATATGAGACGTAGATTCATCAGAACTCCAGAACAAAGAGCAAATTTATTGGGTTTGCTTTGTCTTTTTTTTTTTTTTTTTTTTGGAGTTTACACTAAATTGGATTCCCAAATGGGGGAAGCAGAGTGAAGATAAAATAAAGCTTTTTGAAGTAAGCAATTGCCTTATATACTACCTGGTGCTGTTAAGCTGACTAAATGCCAGTTGAGAGAGTTAAAAGAAACCCCAAAACCATAAAAAAAATTTTAAAAGTTTTTGATATGCACTTGCTGCCTATTACTGATACTTTAAAATTTACTAAATTGCCAAATATTTCATCAGTTTCTGAAGAATTATTGCTTCTTACTGTCACTAGGCAGATCGGCGTTTACTTTCAAACAGTAGGACTTTATTTCTCAATCCAAAGGCAATTGTTCCATTTGTCTAGCATTTTCCATGTAATTAGCACTTCTAAAAATGTATTTACAGTAAAGATGTTTTAAATCAAAAATCAAAATGTGATTTGGAAATAAAAGTAATCAGTTATTGTAGTTCAGACTGTGTGTTTCTATAAATCTATAAATTTGTCATGTAGTCTTCATAAAGGGGTATATTAACAATCCTTCTACCTATTTCTTGTTCTTCTCTCTCTTGGCTGCCACTGGTTTACAGCCAATTACTCGTCATCTTCTATACCACTGCCTTATTCTACTGATGCAAAGATTTTCTGGCTTATTGTCATTGTTCATTTCGGTTTTGGTTTTAATGGGTATTATCAATAGGTTCACCTATTTTTTTCCAGTGAGGGAGGTTTTGTACTGCAAAGGTGTAATTTTTGTCTTCTGATTTTCTTCCACAGTCTGCCATCTTCAACTTCCAGAGTTTGCTGACTGTCATCTTGCTGCTCATATGTACCTGTGCCTATATCAGATCCTTGGCTCCCAGCTTACTGGACAAAAATAAAACTGGGTATGTAGTCTGATAATTTCGCAAATGCACAAGCTGTGTGGTTTTAACTTCAACTTTTTAGTACCTTCTAATGGTGTCTGTGATAATACAAATAGTATTTTGGAATATTTCTGTCTTTGAAGTAAAAATCTTCATTTTGTACATTACAATAGACTGCAATAAGGTATCTGCAAGCCGTTAGTTTTAATTGTATTGAAATAATTTATTAGCTAACTAACCTAAGTAATACTGCATTATTAATTTTCTAGATTTATAGCTTTGTTGTTAGATACTTCTTAAAGATACGGAAATGAGAGCCAGAAAGGAAAAATTCTCCTACATGTGGCTATTGTTGCAATGATTTATTTTTGATCCTTAGGGTGGGTAAAAAAACAGCAGAAGCTGTCTTTTTGTTTGTTTTCAAGACAGGTGTTCTGGAGATACAAGTTTGAAACACAGCTTTAGCAATAGTTTGTAACTTAAAAAACCCTTTTTTAAAATAAGCAACATATCCTTATATGTGGTCTGTTTAAATCATGGGTTTATATTGTCTAAGATGAAGGAATTTCTAGAAGAGTATTTAAAAGTTGTTACAAACCTAACCTATGTGTTTTGTGTCCTTTGGACACTCCTAACTGTGATCAACGGAACTGTCATTTAATTGTGGTGTTTTTAAAGTAATTTTGGGGCTATTATGACATAGAAACCACTGAGGCTGTCCACAGTATTTCAGTAATAGTTTCACCTGAGTTTGGTAGAAAGGAGATAACATTTGTAGAAGTAGGACGTAATTCTAGCTGGAAATGTTCTAGGTGGAAAAACAGACAGGCTTTTGGGTGCTGGGTGTTTGACTTGTCCACTTTTTTCCATTAGATCATTTCCTGCTAAATAAAATTTTCCTTTTCCCTAAGTATCTCCTGTCACTTCTGCATTTAATTTTCAGAAGAATTCTCAAGTTTTAAGTAGACTCTTGTCACGAAGAACCTTCAGTGTTTGTCTTCTGAAAACCTTTGTTGTAGTTAACCTCTGAAGTTGATGTTTTATCACCCAGCTTTTTTTCTTTTAGCATCATAAGATAACCAGAGTATGCTAGATTTTTTAAATTTGTGAGTTCTAAGTCGTAAACATTTGTGTCCTTTTATATGAAATTGCCACTGACAGGGTAGATTTCTTTGGATAGAAGTAAAGATGGAAAGAAAGGATGACTTCATGAAGGACAGGGAGTGGGAGAGTGAGGGGAGTTTGGGTGTCTGCTGGTGGAAGATAACACAATAGTCAATGAAGTATACACAGTAAGAAGTAAGAATGTTTATCTTACTGATTAAAATTTTAGTGCTGTTCTTGGCAGGGAGTATTTCCTTTAATCTGGAGTTACTCTGTTTATTCTTGAGGCAAATCTGTCTGGAGCACAATAGAACTCTCTTCATAAAATGTTTCAAAGGGTGCTCACACAGTGGAGGAGTTGAGCATTTGATCTGTAGGTTTGTATTTATATAGATGTTGGACGTACCATTTTGTTTTATACATATATGTGTATGTAGACTGCTTTGTACTGGAGAATAAAACCTTGGCCTGGAAGCAATGAAATTTGTTTCCTGTGTGGTGGATGTTTACATGGAGCTCTATGCTGTTAAACCCCTGTCCCTCTCTGACATATTCCGTGCTCAGATGGAAACGTCTAGACATATAGGATAAAACAAATTCTGGTGATATTTCATTTCACCACAGAGATGAGCTTGCCTCATCATTCCTGCTTCAAATTAATGGCATAAAAAAAAAGTAGTAATAAAATATTAAGGTGACAGACAGGAGGAATGTTGATAGTTATTCACTCTATTTCCGAGTGGTAACTTTGGTGAGGATTTAAATGAGTTGATAGTAAGTGAAGAAACATTTTTCTGTTGGTTGAGAGACAGTGTTGTGAAGTGATGTCACCCATCCTCTTAACACTGTATTTCATCCCCTTCACTTCTGCCAAAATCTGTCTGTTCCTACCAAGCCAAGTCAAATTTTAAAACTTCATTCTCCCTGACACGACTTGAAGCACTTCCATGTGCTTTGTCCTGTTGAAGCCTGAGAAACCAAGTGGAGATTTACTGCTTCATGCTAACTAGGGGAGAACGTGTACCACAACATAATTCCCTCCTCTCTGCTAACCAGAAAGATGTGTTAGCTTATGTGCAGTAGAGATTCCCTTTGATTTTCCACAGGCATTTCAGTGGGGTATCTCTCACACTCCCTCCTGCAGTGGCACTGGGGTTGTCCTGGTGAACACGTGGCACCTGCATTTTCCCAACATACACAGTTCAGCAGTTGAAGTCTAAGGCCCCACTAACTGCTCCTCAACTTAATGGGTTTTATTTATTTGGGTTTTCTGCTCTCCAGACAACCAATGCCGCTTTCATGATCAGGGCTTTTAACATCTAACACTGAAAGCCAGGAATAGGCAGCAGCTTGTGCACATTTGGCTTGTGGCTGCCAGCAAAAAACAGCAGGTGTGGAGGCCAGACTGATACACTTTACCTGCCTCCAAACAAGGATGGCTAGGAACATGAAGAGGAGCGTAAGGAACAGTGCAATTACCTGGAGTGATTGCTTCAGGAAGAATTATTTTGGAGGAGATTCATTCAAGGCAGCATCATTTCTGTAAAAAGCGAACAGGTTTTGACTTGAAGAGCTGCGTGTTGTGAACCTGAGATGAACACTAATGGAAAAATCCAGGGGAGCAGAAGGTCTGCACAGGTTCTTCCGCCAGTGTGAGCTCCCCAGTTCATCCAGAGGATATTACTGTAGCTGTTTAGAAGGTCCTGATTTCAATCAGCCTCTGCTCAGCAGCAGGGTATGTGGACAAACAGATGTCCTGAGCTGTTCCAATGGCACACAAGCTTCTTAAAAAGGTGCTATTGTCATCTGTGGGAAGGTTTGTCAGTTCCCCGTCAGTGACTGTAAGTTCATAAATTGTTAACTGCAGTAAGGGCACCTGATGAAACCCATATTCTGTTGTGTACCTACCACATCAGACATTTGTATTTTCACTGAGAGCTAGAAGCAATGTACACTACTTCAGTAATAACTTCACATTGTTATATATTATATATATATATATTTTATATATAAAACCCTGAGAAAATGAAGCAAATACCCTTGTTGAGATTGTGAGGCAAATTCAATGTATTTATAGACTTCCTGAAAGAGTTAATATTCTTTTTCCCAGGCAAGGTTCTTCAATTGCACATGAAAGGAACAGTAATGTTTATTCCTTCCTGGGCAAGCTTTTGAGAGATGGCAGCATGAGAAGCAGGGCTGTGGAAGTTTTTGTGTTGGTTTTTCAGCACACAATCTGTAAATTCCAGTTTTACAGAGAGTGACAATATTTTTGAGAACCTGAAGTGTACCCATGCAGTAATGTGGAGCTGTGTGTTTTGCTCCGTAAGATTTACACATTAATGACTTTCTACCTGCGTGCATCTTCAAAAAGTGCCTAGATGTCTTCAGGTTTCCTGTATGACCTCTTAGCCTGGAAACGTGTGGTGCTCTACATGCGATCATTATTACTTCTGCTTGTGGAGCTACATAAGAGCAGAAAAAAAAGAGCTTTCGCTTTACAGAATTACAGTCAAAGCTGCATAAATATAAACATATACATATGTATTTGGCTTGAGGTAAAACAATCTAAAGCCCAAATGAAAAAGCCTATTTTCTAGAAATGGAAATGCTGAAATGCTGTTCACGATGAATTGTTCAGCAAGAGGTACGTTGAATATAAAGCATTTCACTTTGAAAACCTTAGTCATTTGCTGCCTCACTTGGTTCTCACTGCCTGACACCTAGTCTTTATTTCAGAAGTAAAGGTGAGGCTGCTAAATGGAAAGAGAAAGAGATGTTGAAATAAACCGAGGCCATAAAAGAGGCCATAAAATATGAAGTAGCACAGAAATTATATTTTAAAAGGTGCAGGATGTGTTGTCTGCTGAAGATGCAGGAGCAAGGAACCCATTCCTACCTGTCTGCACTTAAGCACATTAAAAATAGGCAATTGCCAGAGCCCAAGAAAGGGGAAGAACAGATAATCAAGCCGTTGTCAGTGTGAGTTCAGAGCACTGTGGGAAAGCACTTGGAGAACTGCAGGTATAGTTACAATCCCACAAATAACACAGGCTGAAGTTACTGCTGATACACGTAACAGGAGAAGGAGGAAAAGTAATTAAGTTTCTTCTTTTTTTGCTCCATTAATCTATATATAAACAATATAGTTGAATCCAGGCATTTTTACTGTGTTGCAAGCAGACATATTATGAAGGAAACCTTCCTGCAGACAAGCGTGGAACATTTTTGACCAACATTTATAAGGCTGAAAGCTGTCTTGTTGTTCAGGATGCTTCATATTCTTCCCTTCTCCTCCTCAGATCCTAAAGCAGTCCCTGGCCTTGCTCTTGTTGAGCAGTAAGTGTGAGATTATTTTAGTTAGACAAAGAAATTGCAAGTAAAGCATTAAGAACAAACCATAAGAATAGTTTTGTTACTGTTTTAACACAAGCATTCTAGATCAGATTACACCTATGGAAGAAAAATGCCTGCTAGAAAAGGCATTTTTATCCACTGTTTCTAAGGGAAATGCAAAAGAGAGACTACAAAGCATTGAATTTAAAGTACTTGGATTTATCATCTCTCATACCTGCAGGAAAACTCACTGTAACACAAAAAGTTCCCCACATACAATGGTGTAGAGGTCTGTTGGTATTTCCTACTGCCACTATTTGTATAGTTCTGGGATTTTTTGTTAACATAATTTTCTGTGTGGGGTACTTCAATGCAGAATTCTGATGAAGTGAATCTGGAACACAGACTGAGTTAAATGCATCTTGATTTTTCTTGCATGCAGAAAAAAACCACCTTGGTAGACTTCGAACTTTGCCTCTTGTGTAGTTCATAGCCTGTGCCCCTCTGTGCAGGTATCTGCTAGTTTCTGGTGTCTGGAAGAGGGTCAAGTTGTCAGACCACTGTCAAGTCAGATTGTTTTAGCATAGAAGAAGGAAAATCAGTGGACTTAGATTATTTTATTAAACCAAGAGCCTAATGAATTTATTTTGTCTTTACAGACTGTTGGGGATATTCTGGAAGTGCGCCAGGATTGGTAATTCTTTTTTTTTATTTTAAAATCTTTAAGACCAGCAGTTTTTCTGGCATTATTTATTAGGTCAATGTTTCCCTGTAGCAATGAAATCCATATATACCCTTTGTCTTAAAAAAATGCAGTTTTACCTTCATGAAATAAGGGGGCTGGATATCACTGTCTTAGATCAGCATCATGGAAAGCCTGCATATTCTGATGTCCATTCATGTGTGTGGTGTTACATTTCAGAAGTCTTTTGCACTTCTTGCCACATGAAATAACCAGGGGGGTATTCTTATTAACATACAAAGAAATGAATGATTCCTTATAAACTGCAGTCTATTGGAAATGCTACTGGACTACTGAAAAAAAGCCAGATATTTATCTTGCATTAATAAAAAAACATGGCATTCGTAATGCATTGAGGTTCTGTTTAAGCACAAGTGTATTTTTTTTCTCTCCTTTCTTTAGTCAGCTTCTGTGCACTTTTAAATTACAGAAAGCTGTTCATGTCAAGTGACATCTGCAGACAGGCTGATCAGCTCTGATTCCTGACATTTTCCCCTAACATTGGTTTTATATTTACTTTAATCCTTATCCTGAATTTATTTTGAGAGGGAAATTGGAATATGCAACAGAAGTTTAGACTCAACTTTTAAGGTATATCCAAGATTTTTAAAAATTACAAACCCATTATCAAAACAGTGTTGTTCAAATTGATTGTTAATGTAGAGCAGAAACTATGAGCTTGTAACTGTAAATCTTCTTAACTGTCATTAAACCTAAAGAAAACCTGTGTGATTCCCTTTTTTGCATTCCCAGGCTTTGAGAGGGGCATGACATACATTTTTTAATTTGTAAAAAAACCAATGATGCAAAAAAATGTTTTTTGTGGAAACCTGTTGTTAAAATGATTACAGATATTGTCCTATTTAGATAATAGACGTAGCAGAACCAATTTTAATGCTGTAATTGAAAGATACTGGGAAGATGGCAGATGTCAGAAATTAATTTTGAGCTATACCAGCGAAAACAAATGTAAAAATTGAGCTGCTTTAGGGTTTGTTCAAGGTTGAAGAGGATACCTTACCTCACCTTACCTTGACATCTTCTTTGTAGTCAATTAAGTGCAGGCATATTCTTTTCTATTAGCTATGTTTCTATTAGAGCTTGCATTTAGAGTGGACCAATTTGACTTTCTTTTTTAGACTGAGAGGTGAAAATGGGCTTTGGGGACGATTCCTGTTATTTTGTTTGTGTTAATCACGAAGGCATGTACAAAGCATAGGCTTCTAAAAATGAAAATGTCTCCTGGCTTCCTTTACATTTAACATCCCTAGTATGTTTAAACAACCTTTTCACATGTGCGTAATATCTTAATCGCGGAGAAGTGGTTACATATTTACAGAGTTGTGCAAAATGATGTTTAATCCTGCCACATGGTGATTTCTCTTTTAAGAAAATTAGGAGCAGAAAAGCATAACCCATATGAATATTGTAATACCCTGAACTGTAGGAGCTGGACTTCCTCAAAATTTATTTTAAACAGATGTGAAACTGCAGACATTGGTTCTTTCAGTTATTTGAAGTTTAATTAAATATATGCCAGATCATGGCAACATCTTGTAATGTCACTGTGGCAGGCATTCCTGCTTATGGGAGCTGTCACTGCAACTATTTTATTTTTTACTTTCTTTCTGTGGAAAGTTTGTTGCCCATGTATTTGAAGGTCCTGCTGGTAAAAATTTTTTTTCATGAGAATTGCACCTTGATGCTAAACTTGGAAGCCTTGGTATTCTTTTTTCTTTAATGGTTCTCTGAAAACTGTGTCTCAAGATAAGATGGTTTATAGAGTAAGACAAAAGACCTGGCACAGCACAGGGAAATGGAATTTTGCGCAAAGCAAACAGCCCCAGCTCTGTCTTTGTGCTTCTGGATGTGTAAAAACAGGAATCTTCTCACTTTAAAGAGAGATTGCAGTGTTAACACTTCCTGACAGTTCTGAGGGCTGGAAGTACCATCCAGTGTTGGTCTCTCCAGAGAGAAGTCAGTGGACCCATGAAGAATAAAGTTTAAGTAGAAGTGTAAAAACACCTGGCTAATAAAGTGGAGGTAGTGCTCATGTAAATGGGTACCAGTTTGGTTAACATTACTGTTAACCCCCTGACTCTGTTACAGTTCCCCACATAAGATTATTCCTTTTTTTTTTTCATAGTTTACTTGGTAAATAAGACACTTCTGTAACATTTTGTCCTGGACCAAATAGAGGGGAATAGATCTCTCATGATTGCTTTTGACACCAAATATAAGTGGGCTAATGGAGTAAAGTTAACTTTCATCCATGGCGTGCCCTGGAAAAGCTGTGACACCAGTTTGAAACAGTCAGAAATAGAGGTGTCTATGCAACTTCTGTGATCTGTTGACCATTTTTATCATGGAAATGTATGGGCCAGACCCCCTCCACGTTCTTACAATGTTATGTTCTTTAACAAGTAAAAAAGACAAGCATCTGGTCGTCTTCCACAGACCAGGTTGCTCCAACCTGGCCCTGGACACTTCCAGAGATAGAGCAGCCACAGCTTCTCTGCGCAACCTGTGCCAGGGCCTCACCACCCTCCCGGGGAACAATAATTTCTTCCTGATATCCAATCTAAACCTACTCTCTTTGAGTTTAAAACTATTCTTCCTTGTCCTGTCACTACATGCCCTTGTTTAAAGTCACTGTCTTAAAGCAAAGAGCTGCAACTCTGTCTTTATGTAGCAATATACTACATTTGGGTTTTCCACTCCCATGCGTGTTCTTCCTGAACGCACAACTTTACCTCTAATAGCATTTCACCAGCCAGAAATGTTGAAGGTGAACTTGCACATGCTGTAGCATAGTTAGCACGTTAGACTAGGAGCAGCCTGGATCTATTTAGTCACTCCTGAATCTTTCTTTTGGGTTTTTCCCCCTCCCAGGTGAGCGGAAGAGCCCCTACGTAGCTGTGTGCTGTGTCGTGATGGCCTTCAGCATCCTCTTCATGCAGTAGCAGCTGGAGAGTGTCCCCTGCTGCCAAACAGCACGGTGTGGGAGAGCTCCTGGCAGGAGAAGATGGGAAAGTGTCACCAAGTCTCCTCCCACATGATGTACCCCCCATCTTCTGGTGGACACCCCCTGAAACACACCAAACATCACAGTATTAGTGATCACAACCCAGACGACATGTGCTTGTTAATGTTGAGTCAGCACTGATGTAACTCTTGAAAGGGTGTCTCTTCTAACCATAGCAATAAAGTCACCCTTGGAAGAATAAAGAACATTGTGATTTTAGCATGTGTTTATCAAAGTATTTTTAGTTCTTGCTGTCTCAACAGTTCCTCTTGTTTTGCGAGTGATAGCTCTGCTCTCATTCTAAAAATACAACCTCCAACCTGTTATATTCAGCTATTTGTTTTTAAACTTGTAATTCCTCAAATAATCTGTCAATATGTGTAAAAGCAGGGACAAAAACCGTAGGGATGTCTGATTAGCTGCTGAGAAGGCACAGATATGGGACTTGAGACACCTGGGCTGCTCTGTGTAAAATATCACATTTATTCATTTTTAGAGTTTTGGGTCTCAGGTAGATCAGTCCCCAGCTTTTTTCAAGATGGTGAGAAAAGAATTCTAAAGGCTCTGCTGCTGCTGTTGTGTGTAATAGAAGATTTCTAAATCAGCAAGGGGACCCCTGGTGGCCTAGTGGTTAGCATGCGGGACTCTCACCGCTGCGACCCAGGTTTGAATCCCAGTCCCCCCGAGCAGATGGAGCCCGTTAGCCCTGTGAGGCCATCCATCTATGAGAAGGTCACTCTAAACAAACCTACGTCCTGAGGACCTCACTGCCATTGTCCAAGCTTGCTTGGCCCCGGCAGATGAACCTTAGGATTAAAGGGTGGGCTCAGTTCCGCGCAGGCTGTGTCTCACCTAAAAAAATCCATTGCGCAGGCTTGAAAGGTAAAAGACCTTTCCCCAAATCTTCGTTCGCGAAGACTGGCCATTATATTATTAAATCAGCAAGATAAACAGTTAGCTGCAGATAAGGAAGTTGCATGTCACAATATTCTAAAGGTTGAAGAAAACAATTAGATTATACTCATTACTAATAGAGGTTAAATTACTTTTAGTAGTACCTGCCATTAGCATTTATTTGTTAATTTTGCACACTTTCAGTGATCTAGTGACTTCTTTAACAATGCCTGATGGGTGTGAGCACATCAGGCAACTGTGACTTCATACTGACTGCGTTTGGGAGAGTTATCTGCCAGCAGAATTTACTGTTGTTCTGAGAAGGTTTGTGATCAGAGTGAACAAAGCTGACAGTAAAACACACTGAAAGGTATGTCAACTGTTGTCATTCCTGTTTGAGAAACTTGTTTTTATCAATCCAGATCACCCTGCAATTAGGAAAAAAGGCAGTTATTAGTTATGACCTTTGAATTGTCTCACAATTCATGATATGAATTGTATCTTCATATCTAAGTCACCATCAGAATTACTCATCCAAAACTTTTCTACTCTGGAGTCAGGAGACATAGATGTCTCCAATTTAGGCCAAATAAATACCCCTGTCTGTAAACCAGGCAGGTTCAGAAGAATACAGAGCAGTAGGACAGAGACCATTCTGTGTACCTATATAAGCTTTGAATTCTGCAGGAGATCTGGGGAGAGGCAAAATCTGTTCCTGTAACTTTACCTGTGGATACTGCTCCAAACATGGCAACAAAGCAGCACAATTTTGGATTTCAAAGGTACTAAACAGGGGGAAGGGAAATTCCTTTGGCATCTTGGGGTTTGACTGTCGGGTGTATACTCGTTCAAAATACACAACAAATCATCTGCTAACTTTTTATATTAAGCAGCTAGATTCTAGTTATTACTACTTAAATAATGACATTTTTATGATATTCACACATTTCCAACTCATCCAACGCTGTCCTAATTATCAGATGAATTCTTAATAATCTCTTGTGTTCAGGTGTGAATATCAGTGAAACAACACAAGGAAATTTTTAATTCTGAGAAACTGAAAACTATTGACATGGAGGCACTGTGTTGCAAAAACCTTCCCTGTTCACATTTTATCATGTAAGAAGTTCAGACAAACAGGCATCTTCCTGTTTGTCATTTGCTGTTCAAACTTCAACAGTATTTCTTATACAGCAGTTCCTCATCGTGGCCTAAATGCAGGTTGTTCATGGATACTTCCTAGTTTGGGATTTTTTTCATTTTCCCCTTTAAAGGACATTTGCAGGTTATTCATAATGTCCTACCTTCATTTTTGCTCAACAAAATTTTCTGAACACAGGATCTTTAAGCTGTGACAAACTGCAGTTGTTTTGAAATCACTGCTTTAGGCAGATGTTTGCCTTGGGATTAGTTCTTTGTTTTCCAAAATTTTGGAAAGAATTTCTGTGAAGAAATTGATACGTCTTCTCTTTTAGTAATATATGAAGAAAATACTGTTTTCCCCAGTTAGAACCATAAAACCTTTTTGCTTTTTTTTTCTCATGCAAAAGAGAGATCAGAAACCAAGCCTACCTGGATATTTGACCAAGGTGTAAATGCTATGATAACAAAAGGGAAGGTATAACTTTGGGCACATGTACTTGATAAAGCCATAGCACAAATCATCTTTGAACTCTAGGCTTGAACTGTGTAATTTTCAAAGAGCAATAAATAAGTTCCAAAAGAGCTCAGTCAGAAGAGGTGTTGGGGAAAATAGTCTTTCCTTGTACTGAGCCTTTGCTGTGAGTCCCAGACTGAGCAGAGAAGTGAAATGCTTACTACCAAATTATTTAGGTGCTAAAGTAGCCTAAAATGGCAGTTGCATGGTTGCAGAGTTTGACATAAGTTGATGAAGGAGATAAGGGCTGTCCCAGGTGACCAAGGAAACAGCAGCAGGAATTCCTGGCTGGGAGACAGGAGTTTGCAATCACAGCAAGTCTGTACACCTTCACCCTGTGGGGAGGTGCTGTGACTGAAACTGTAGTTGTACCTACTACTGTGCGAAAGTATTTCCACATTGGGACTTCATCCTTTTACCTAAACTGCATAATGGATGTTAGAACAGGTTCTTTCTTGAATGCACAGAGTAATTTATACCCTTGCAGGTACTTGCTGTGGATTAATGTTAACTTGCATCCACATCTGCACTCTAAATCGCTCAAATTCAAAGCAGGGATTTGGGAAGGCTAAATCGGAAATCATTTATAGCCATGTTGGGAAATGAGTAAAGCATGAGTAAGAGATGGGATCACTGTAAAGGTCTGATACTCTGGAGAGACTGATAAGCAACTGGGCAGACGTAGCTGGTGGAGGAGGAAACACAAAGTGGAATTCAAGAATGACTCGAAGATTTCATGTTCTTGGAACAAGGTTGGTTTTGAATGCCCTTTCCACCTTCTTAACCACAGCCAGTGAGCAGTGGAAATACACTGTCATCAAGAGCTGAAGTGGCAGTGTGGTGGAGAAAATAATTGCTCTGTTAGTGCTCTGAGGCTTTTATTCTTCCAGTTTGTTCATACTGGCATCAGTGGGAGAGCCCACTGTCTAATGCTTAGAAAGGCTCCCCATGATCCAGGGATTCCTTCTCCCTTTTCTGCCATAACTACTTTCTAGAGAAAAGAAATCAGAAAGAAAATAAAATCAACATCTTCCTAATGATTTAAAATGCAAACCGTGGAAAAAACCACCAGGAGCCAGAAAAGTGTGACCTAAACCTGCTTCTCATACTCATGCAGAGACTTTGCATTATCTCATCAAAACATTCCCAGCTAAGGAAGGTTTTCCAGTCTGGTTTTTTTTCCCCTCCCTTTTCTCTTGTTTTACTTGAGCATTGTTAATCATTCCACGCACAGTTGGTGAGTGCTTTCAACATCCATTGGGAGGCCCATATAGGTTCCACATGTATTTTTATGGCACTTGGCTAGCTAGAAAAGCAGTTTTCCTTCAGCTCATGTAATTCAATGTAATCATCGTGCAGAATATGGAAGATACATCTACACACTGAAAAACAGGTTTTGAACGTGCAGCCTGAATTGTTTACTTGACTACAGGTCTTTTATTTTATATATAGCACCTTTTTTCATGATGCCCTGAGGCTATAAGGCAAAATGTGTGGAGAAAGAGTCATTCTGCAAGATCTGCTAACAGCTGGGAAAAAAACACATTCTTTTAGACAGGGAGGATCTTTCTCAGGTCCAACATGGACAATGTCACATAAAGTACTAACCTATACTCAGTATTTAATTTTTTGACTCTGTTTCACATCTGAAGGGCTTGTGTGCCCAAAAGCACAGCTATATTTTTCAGTTAATCAGTTTCTGACAGGATCTAATGAATCTCCAGAGGTTTTGCCTAAATTCCATGACCTGTTCATTGGCTCATAGATCACAAGTACATGACCTGTCACTTCACAGTATACCCTTGTCTCTGCCCGTTTGACAGGTGGAGCCCAAGCTCCTCTTATGAAACATCAGCCAGACTGAGCCTTCACTCAGGCTTCAGAGACTTTACAGTAAGATAGCCCTTGGCACTGCAGCTTGGTTATTTCCTCCTACTTCACTAGTAGCTGTAGGAAGATTGTCCAGCAATTCCTTAACCTGAATAAAAAAGACCTTCCAAAAGAGTGTGTTATTAACTCACATAATTCCCCCTGGTGTGGGAGGGAGATACCAACATTTTCTGAAGGACCTGGGTATAAACATTTCCAATGACACAGCTACTCCTGCCAGCCCCTGGTATGTCAGCAGAGAGGATAATTACTTAAGGAGTGAGAAAGTCACTAACTCCTCTGTCAAATTCAAAACTTTCTGTGAGAGCATCCCATGGTAACACATCGTTTCCGTTGCTTGAAAGGGCTCTTTGGAAGCTGTTCCAAGGGAAAAGAGGTTTTCCCTCCAGCCCAGCTCTAAGTGGGAAGCACTCAGTGTCTGTGCCCAGCTGGAAGCATATCCAGCTGCTACAACGTTTCAGTAAATTGCCATGTTTCTGTAGTTCAGCTGTAGACCAATTCACCAGTTTGTGTAGGCCCAATTAAACTATATGATCTCTTTTTCAATATAGTATAAGCACATATAATCTAAACACCTCCTTGATGTCCTCTGCATCACCTATTTACATCATGCATAAATAGTCAGAGGAACCTATCACATCACTCATTCATGACAGCACTTACCTTAGAAAAACTAGGTGATTAAAATACTGTATTTCCCCCTAAAGGAAGACCAGGAGGTTTTAAAGGGGTAAAATTCTATATGGTTTCATTTATTCTGGAAAAGACTTGTTTTAAA